GATTATTATTATTATTATTATTATTATTATTATTATATCTCAATAACTTTTACTGTACAGTTGAGACTAAAGGTCTTTAGAGTGCCATGAAAAAATTTAAAGGCACCATATACATATATTAATACCAAATGCAACACAAATAGGGAATGTGAAGTTCTAGTAGGTCGTGCTACAAAAGTCCACATCAAGAGATGATGACCTGCAAGTGATGGTTCGGCTAAATACAAGGAGTGCATTATAAAAAGGCAACTTGGAACGTTTCACTGCTTGGTGCAGGAGTTGAAACTGTACCATGGTCATTCTTGGACCTGCATCAGGATGTCCTTGGGGCAATTTGAGAAGCTGGACTTGGAAGAGGCAGAGGAGCAATTACAGTGACCCGGAATAGCACCTGACTGTGTGTCTGAAGTAAAATATATACTGAACATCACTTTAATAAATGAATTAGATAGATTTAGCTGGCTTAGAGGTCATTGCAACGAAGAACCTGCTATCATGCTGATAAAAATGAATTAGATAGATTTAGCTGGCTGGTGCACTATGTGCTTATGGTAACAATGTTGCAATGTTCTAGCAAGCTGCATCATAATTGGTTACATGTTCCTGTTGCTTGCAAAAAGTTGAAAAAAATTGACAGCTGCTTTTCACTTTGCAATATTCCACTGTTGATGCATTCATTGACAAAATACTGGTTTGAAAATTATCAATGTGCAAAAAAATATACAAAAAATACGCCTCCAGTGTAAAAAGACCTTAAGACTGGGACAAGGATGGAGCAGGATTTCACAGGTCACCTGGAGGGTTTCCACCTTAATGCTGTTGGTAGATGGCTTCTTGCCAAGGTCCAGGCTCTCTTCAGTTATTTCAGAAAATTGGCAGGTCCTGATGGTATCCCAGCCAGGCTACTGAAATCCTGTGCCACTGAGCTCACCCAAAGCACTTTAGACTCTTGCTCTGTCTCCACCGTCTGGAACATGTATAATATCATTCCAGTCTTTAAAAATCCCTGCCCAATGGAAAACAATGATCAGACCAGAGGCTCCAACCTCTATCATTAGGAAATGCTTTGATATCTAGACAATGCAAGTGTCTGAAGCCTAAGACAGAGGTACACTTATTTTTAGATACATTTCCATTTGCTTCCTGTTAGGTATTTTTAGTCAGATAGAAATTGGATAGATATTTTATGTATTAGAAATGTTTAGTGGAGATAGGATGTCTGGTTAGACTGTTAAATGCTTAGGCATGCTTATGAGTTTCTACAGGGTACATCTGGTCAAGGATAACTAGAGAGAAGAGTTGATGACTGTCAGCAGACAGGGTGTTTAATATTATTATTACGACGTGTATAACTGTAGCCTTAGCCATAATATGTTCTTATGTTTGAGTCACGACATGTACTAGAGGTCGTGAGAATGTTTCTAGCTACACACCATTTAATCAACAGACACACACACATGCACATTGATTTGCTTCATGTTTTGACTACTGCTAGGGCCAGCTGCAAAGCTGGTAACAGAGACGTCTCGGTTGACGTTTTCTGGGTAGTATGGGGCTAGCCCAACCAAGGGGATATAATGTATAGGCCTGGTGGGTTCAGGGTCTTTCATCTTACATCTGCCTGCGAGCAGTTTGGAGGTGCAAGATACCTGAGCGTGTAATGTTAATTTTACCTGTGATCCTTTGAATAAATCAGCACTGTTTTGAAGTTACTTGGACTGTCTCATCTCTCAGAGTTAGCAATGGTAATAAGAACCATATCCTGCAATGTTCACAAACTATCCTCTTGTTTTTAGGAAGAGGCTCTCTGGCTTTTTTCATTCTGAAATAATTAGACTATTTGGAGTTATGAGGGGTGCCAAGCTAATCTAGAGGTACCCAAGATTAAACATTAAATAGTTGGAAATGAGCAAAATGAGCATGCCATGGGTACTTTAAATATCGGAGATGTTTGGAAAATAAAAACATTAGAAAACCACCAGTCTTTTCTTGTAAGCACTGATCACAAGATAACAAATACAACCTTGAAACTCAGGATAATGATAATAGTTTTATAGTTCAGTAAGAAGAATTTTCAGTTGTGACCTTGGACAGAAATCCTAAATATGGATGCAGTAAGATTCAATACGTTTCTACCAGTAAAACTGGTACATGCAGCCTGCACTTGTTTATATTATGTGTGTTTCTCACCTGTTTGTATGACACATAGACAGGTCTGCTGAAGATGATCCACTCAACTACTTTACTGCAGGGTGGAGTTGTCAGAGAGCCGGTGTAACGATAGTAACTTCCTAATGAGGATGGAAGCAGATCCTTCAGCACAAATGGCTCCAGAAATGTCTCTTTTTCTGTATGAGAGAGGAAAGGGAAGTGATCAATACAACATGATCTACACAACAATCCTTATTTCATGTCAAATAAGAGCACTCAAGAGCGCATGTATCTTCACCAAAGCACAACTTTCGCTCAAATGGATCTCCTGTGAAAAACAAGATCCAGAACAGCATAAAATGTGGCCTAAAATCCTTGTTGTCAGAACATCTTTTAGGGTATGATAGATAGATACCGGAACACTTCAGGGTTCTATCTTCATTGTAGACCAGGTAATGGCAGAAAATATGCATTAAATGAAATTTTTAATATTAAATTTAAATGGATGTTAGATCCGGAATCCACATCAGATCCTGATGAAATTTGATCTGGTCTTAGCCAATGCCATCCTACATATGTGTTACATTTCAAATGACTTTGATAAGTTTTGACAGATATGATTTTTTGAAAATTTTGCCCTATAGTTAAAAGTAGGGATTGTTGTAATAAATTTCATTATTTTTTGTGACCTTGACCTTTGACCTTTTTCAGCCAAACTCTATTCACTTCTAGTGCTGGTCCCCAGCAATGTCTGTACCAAGTATGCTGATGATCCATAATCCTTCTAACCAACACACACACACAACCAAAAACATAACTTCCTCGGTGGAGGTAACTACAGGGACCCGGCTTTCTAGAACAGATCCAGGTGCTACTATTTAGGTTTATGTGACTGATTTCATTTACATTGTGCCTGCCTCATTTAGTGTAACACTACTGACAGAATTAGGGAGGTGACAGTGATGCGGTGGGTAGAGCAGTCGTCTCCCAGGTTCAAATCTAGGTGCCGGCAGTCCACGTGTCAAAGTGTTCTTGGGCAAGACATTGAACCCCCAAGTTGCTTCCAATTCCTTGTGTGTAACATACTTGGCCAATAAAGGTGATTATCCTCGTAAAAAAAAAGAATTAATTGCACTGAATACCTATAATTATACCTTTCTTATTGCCAGATGGTATATAGGAAATAATCAACACTACAACATTAGGTATCTAACCTCAAATGCTGACACATTGAAATACCTTACAAACAGATGTGTACTACTAACAAAAATCACCACTGATATGAAACACTGTGGTCTGTAATGAAATTATCAAGAAGGCTTCAAGCCAACTGACAGTTTTAGTACTTCCCTAGGCCCCAAATATGGGCATTTCAAACAAAATGATTAAAGTAAGAGTGGCTGGCTTTGAGCGGTCACTGACCACAGAAGATATGCTAATTTGAGTTCTGCTGTGAGGATTGGTATAACAGTTTGAGCAATATCATGTACAGTGTTATTGTTCTCTTACCAGACCTGAGTTGTTAGGTTACACTACATTTCACTGAGTTTGAGTGCTTGTTTTTTTTCTCTTTCTCTCTCTCTTTCTCTCTCTCTCTCTCCGAGTGTGCAAATTATTTGCATCTGTGGGTGTTGTGACATCATTGCCCTGCTAAATTAAAATGCCAGAAGAAAGAAAGAAAAAATACAAAGAAAAGATAGAATTGGTTAAAATACCTTATCTAAATTTATAAAGTCTGGGAGGTAACTTGTAGAGGCTGGTACGTTCTTTATATTAGATGTGTTAAAGGGGATAAGCAATATGCTGATGATTTTGATATCCATCATGTCAAAATCATACGAGTAACATAAATAAAGATGTAAAAATAACTTAAAAGACTGGGCACTGAAAGAAGATGAATGGGAAGTTTGCATTTGTTCAGTAACTTCATGGCAGTCTGCCTTTTAATAGTTTATTCTTTTACAATAAACACATTTGGCCTGATGCTGGTGTTAAAGGAAATCTTTTTGAATTAGTGATCATCTGCTGGTGATCATCAACATTTGCATAACATTTAATGAAAATGTGTCAATTTTTTTGTTATAGTGTAACAAGTCAAAATGTTACATGGACCAACGTGCTGACCTCCTGACACCTGGCTCTTTAGAGGCTAAATGTTCCACAAACAGTTGCTAAGAAGATTTTAGGTGAAACTTGAATTCTTTTACATTATGGCCATTTGATGCATTATTAATATATAAATATTGATTAATCCACAATAATTACACATAGATGCATAAAGTAATTCATGAGTGCAGCTGATGAGCCATGATGAATAAAAAAAAGCCCCAATCAGTCATGTCTCAGTAGACAAAGAAAATGTAAATTCTTTGACCCCTTCAAACTCTT